TGGTAATTTTTTTTTGGAAAATCAACAAAGTAAGCAAAAATGCAAATAGAAGGAAGCCATTTTTTCAAAACAGAGACCCAATTTAACTAATTTTTAGTTTTGGGAAGTTATTTCGGATGAACACGGCATCGATCCTACCGGAACCTACCACGGAGACTCCGACCTGCAGCTAGAAAGAATTAACGTCTATTACAATGAGGCCACAGGGGGAAAATACGTTCCAAGGGCTGTGCTGGTGGACTTGGAGCCCGGAACTATGGATTCCGTGCGGTCTGGGCCTTTTGGTCAGATTTTCCGACCGGATAACTTCGTCTTTGGTTAGTTGTTCTTTGGTTTTTTTTTCTACTTAGTGGGGAGGTCTAGGGGTACTGAAAAAAATCGGAGTTTTTAAGTTATCAAAGCATTTTGTCACTTTTGCTTTTAATGGCTTATTTAAAATCAATATCATCAGCTCTGAATTTTTTTGCAAATTCAACTTGGACATTGAATCATTTGTTGCTTAGGTCAGTCGGGAGCAGGTAACAATTGGGCGAAAGGTCACTACACCGAGGGAGCTGAGCTGGTCGACTCCGTTCTGGATGTCGTACGAAAAGAGTCAGAGAGTTGTGACTGCCTTCAAGGGTTCCAACTTACTCACTCCTTAGGAGGTGGAACCGGATCCGGCATGGGAACCTTATTGATCTCCAAGATTCGAGAGGAGTATCCGGATCGAATCATGAACACTTTCTCGGTCGTTCCTTCCCCAAAAGTTTCCGACACTGTCGTAGAACCATACAACGCAACATTATCAATTCATCAACTGGTTGAAAACACGGATGAAACATTCTGCATTGATAACGAAGCGCTGTACGACATCTGCTTTCGAACACTGAAATTAACGACTCCAACTTACGGCGATTTGAATCATTTGGTCTCGGCAACAATGAGTGGTGTCACAACTTGCCTTAGGTTCCCAGGTCAATTGAACGCTGATTTAAGAAAACTTGCGGTAAACATGGTTCCCTTCCCACGTTTGCATTTCTTTATTCCTGGTTTTGCCCCTTTAACATCACGCGGGTCGCAGCAATACCGAGCTTTGACGGTCCCAGAGCTGACTCAACAAATGTTTGACGCAAAAAACATGATGGCTGCTTGTGATCCGCGACACGGCAGGTACTTGACTGTCGCTGCGATGTTCCGAGGTCGTATGTCAATGAAAGAAGTGGACGAACAAATGTTGAATGTACAGAACAAAAATAGCAGTTACTTTGTTGAATGGATCCCGAATAACATAAAGACTGCGGTCTGTGACATCCCGCCTAGGGGTCTTAAGATGTCGGCGACGTTCATAGGCAACAGTACCTCAATTCAGGAGTTGTTCAAGCGAATAAGCGAGCAGTTCACGGCTATGTTCCGTAGGAAAGCTTTTTTACATTGGTATACAGGAGAAGGTATGGACGAAATGGAGTTCACTGAAGCCGAGAGTAATATGAATGACTTGGTATCTGAGTATCAGCAGTACCAAGATGCCACCGCCGAAGAAGAAGGCGAGTTCGAAGAAGAAGAAGAGGAAGAGGGATAAAAAATCCCCAAATACGTAACAGTTATGCGTAACCATAGTTAGGTAACGCTGACGTAATGAGTAAAGCTGATTAGAAACAAACAGGAAGCAAAAAAAACATAAAACCCCCTACTACAGGCGGAAGCAATTTTATTGCAACCTTTAACCTCATGTCTTTTGAGAAGTTAATAAAAGGCTTTAAGTACCTAAAACTTGTTTCGTTATTTATGTATTGAAGGTTTAAAATAAATTGATTGTTTTCAATTTTTTCTTCTCAGAGCTTATGAGATCAAAAAGGTAAAACCAAGAAATTAGACAAAAAAGACACATAAACTTTGAGAGGGCCTCATGATTTGCCTCAACTGAGTTTTTTCAGCACATTTAAATGTTTCAAGACCTTGCGATTTGATGATTTTATATCAGCATTGAAAAATTTCAGAGAAAAGGTCCTGAAAAACCTTTCAACATAAAACGTATTCATTGAAGAAATCAAAATTGTTGACTTTTAATTGCTGCTTGAACTGAAAAACTCAAAAAATAAGGTTTTTTGCTACTTTTAAACATGTATGAAATTTTAAAAATATTTACCAATTCGGACGCTTGCAATTATTTAAGATTGATAGCCTTAGACTTAAGAGACGAAGAAAATAATGACCCAAGAAAACGCAGAGGAGACAAAGAAATTAATGACAAATGAAATTTCAGGTGAGCCACATGCTTTGCCTCAGTACGCATTGGAATTAAAAATTCTAAATCCAAAAATGTTACCATCGCCGTCAACTGTTTTGTGGATGTGCTCGAATTTGTCAAAGACCAACTGCCTTTTGCGGAGTAAATAAATGTTAAATTGCTTTGTTTTCATTCCTTCCAAGTTACTCGAAAAAGGTTAGTTGCAAAAAAAGTTGAAGAATTAATTATTTTAATCACTTATCAAGTGTAAAAAAACTGTTCAGTCTAATAGCATTGCAGCTGTATCATCCATAAAGCAAAATATCTTTTGATGTGAGAATTTAACATCAGCTTTATAAAATCCCAGTGAAAAGTTCTTAGAATAAAATGATTCTTGATCGAAAGAATATACAATAAAATATGGTCAATTTTTCTGCAGACAGTGTTTAGATGCTCTCAAATTAGGTTTCCATTGTCAAATTAGGTTTTAGAGAACCTAAAAAGTTCTAGAATCTTTTGATTTGATTCTGAATTCATACATTTGTATTTTATCAAGATTGATAGGCTTATTTTTAAGGAATTAGTTTTGAGGGAATGAAAATTTTCCCGAAACTTGAATTACTAAACCTTTTAAATTGTCGGTATCAATTGCTTAATACAAATAGCACTTTTGTGTACTTGCTTAAGTTTGTTGGTTGGAAGCAAAATTAGCATGGGACCCAAACAGACCCTTCGGATAATGAATGGAAGATGGTAATTCTATGGAACCCGTTTAGATTTACCTTTCATAAGAAAACCGAGTGATCAAATGTTTCGGAAGCCATCTTGGGTCAAGAAAACTAGCAAAAATCTAATTTTTAAAAAAATTAATCCATGACGTATTATTTCATCAGACTAGTGAATTTGCCAAAATTTGTTACGGCTCAAATGTCGAAAAATCGATGGGTCGAAAATTGACTTTTAATTGGCCAATTTGTCCGAGGTTTTGTATACATCTGAAGGACATTGATTCCCAAAGCTCAAAATTAAAAAATGCTTTTCTTATTACTCCCACCTTTTTTTAATTCATTCTTCAATTGTAATCATAATAAAATGAATTTTGCTCGTTGAAGAAGCTAACAATTGTGACCAGATTTGATCCTCATGCCGTGCATCATAAAATTGCACGTGTAGCCAGAATATCCTTAAAAAACATCTATACAAAAAACTTCAAGGTGGGAGAGTGGAAAAGAGACAAAAAAGTATCCACGACCATTTATTTTAAAATTGAATTTCGGACAACTTAGAGCACAATAATTCGAATTAGGATATTTAAGAAACAGGTTCTTTTTCCCCACCTCACATAAGCATCAAAGCATTAATTTTATTGTGTACCGATGGGTTCTACAAAATTAAGTTTGAAGACCAAATATCACTTTTCATGGTATAATAAGTCCGCATGCCAGTTTTTGTAACACTCGGGCAAGGTAAATAGAAAAACAGAAAAATTACCTAATAAAAAATTGCGGGTGGTGGGAGGTGAGAAACAGAAAATTAAACAGAAAAAAAACGAGAAAAAAATGTAACATTCTTCCCAAAATTTTCACCATTTTTTAATCAACGCTTAAAGGCAGAAGATACCAATGCGACTCAGCGGTTTTGTTTGAGTCTGAAAAGTAACCGAGGGCGACGAGACTCAAAAATAGCTAAAAAAATTTTGTAATTTACAATAGCAGAAAGTTTTTGAATGTTTTCCTGAAATCTTATTTTAGCAAAAGCCAAGAGGAGCTGGAACAGACTGTTTTTTTCCCGTTACTAAAATACGAAAAGTCAACGTGTTTAAATTTTAGTTTTGGGAGGTAATTTCGGATGAACACGGTATCGACCCCACCGGAACCTACCACGGAGACTCTGACCTGCAGCTGGAAAGAATCAACGTCTACTATAATGAGGCCACAGGGGGAAAGTATGTTCCTAGGGCTGTGCTGGTGGACTTGGAGCCCGGAACTATGGATTCCGTGAGGTCGGGGCCCTTTGGTCAGATTTTCCGACCGGATAACTTTGTCTTTGGTAAGACACTTTCAGTTTTCTTCTACCGATTTGTCCTGGTTTCAAAAAATGTAAGCTTTTTCAATTTGACCAATTCTGTTCAAAAAAAGTTTTGAGACCGCGTCAGTCAGAAGCATAAAATCAGAGCCATTTTTTTTTGAATCGTCGAAAAAACTTGTCACTAGAGGCTATGAAAGCTTGTCGAAAAAATTTTTATTTGCAGAATACAATTAGTGTTCTTTAGGTCAATCGGGAGCAGGTAACAACTGGGCAAAAGGTCACTACACCGAAGGAGCTGAGCTGGTCGACTCAGTTCTAGATGTCGTACGAAAAGAGTCAGAGAGTTGTGACTGCCTTCAGGGGTTCCAACTTACTCACTCCTTGGGAGGTGGTACCGGATCCGGCATGGGAACCCTGTTGATCTCCAAGATTCGAGAAGAGTATCCGGATCGAATCATGAACACTTTCTCGGTCGTTCCTTCTCCAAAAGTGTCCGACACTGTCGTAGAACCCTACAACGCGACCTTGTCAGTGCATCAGTTGGTTGAAAATACGGATGAAACATTCTGCATTGATAACGAGGCGTTGTACGATATTTGTTTTCGAACATTGAAATTGACGACTCCGACTTACGGTGATTTGAATCATTTGGTCTCCGCAACAATGAGTGGTGTCACAACTTGCCTGAGGTTCCCAGGTCAATTGAACGCTGACCTAAGAAAACTTGCGGTAAACATGGTTCCCTTCCCACGTTTGCATTTCTTCATTCCTGGTTTTGCTCCTTTAACATCACGCGGATCGCAGCAATATCGAGCTTTGACGGTCCCAGAGCTGACTCAGCAAATGTTTGACGCAAAAAACATGATGGCTGCTTGTGATCCGCGACACGGCAGGTACTTGACTGTCGCGGCGATGTTCCGAGGTCGTATGTCAATGAAAGAAGTGGACGAACAAATGTTGAATGTACAGAACAAAAATAGCAGTTACTTTGTCGAATGGATCCCGAATAATGTCAAGACCGCCGTCTGTGATATCCCGCCTAGGGGTCTCAAGATGTCGGCCACATTCATAGGCAACAGCACCTCAATTCAAGAGCTGTTCAAGCGAATTAGTGAACAGTTCACGGCTATGTTCAGACGGAAAGCTTTCTTGCATTGGTACACAGGAGAAGGCATGGACGAAATGGAGTTCACGGAAGCCGAGAGTAATATGAATGATTTGGTATCTGAGTATCAGCAGTACCAAGATGCAACAGCCGAAGAGGAAGGCGAGTTTGAAGAAGAAGAGGAGGAAGAAGGATAGGAAAGTCCCCAGTTACGTAATAGTGACACGTAACCACAGTTACGTAACACTGACGTTATAAGTGACGATGATTAGAAACATGCAGGAAGCGAAAAAATCATTAGCAGTTATTTAACCCTTGTTCCATGCAAATTATATTGCAAGTCTCAAACCCAAAAATGGCTCTTTTTTCACCCCCCTTCACCGCAAAGTAACTTTTTAAATTTTATTGTCCAATAGGACTAAAAATATTGGCGTGCTGACTAAATAGGCAGAAACAACACAATTTGTCTTCATTTACTTAATTACACAAAAAAATTGATAATTTTGTGATAAGCAGAAAACAGAGCCCCAAAAACCTTCATGAAAAATTATAAATGACTTTTTTGTAACTTTAGCGCGGTGTGCTTACCGCATAGTCTGATATTTAAGTATTGATGGCTTAAATTAATTTGATTGTTTTTTAAATTTCTTTTTTTTTCGAGATTTATAATAGTTTACTCATATTGAGAAACAGAAAGATTTTGTCAAATGAAAAGTTGGGGAGCCGCATGCGTAGTCCTAGTTAACATTGGATTTTCCAGCTCGAGGCTTTTTAATTATAAAGTTTGAAAATCTTAATATTGCTGTATTCCTTATTAGGGCTGACAAAACATTAACTGCTCCAAAAATCCTTTCAAGTTAGTTTTTAACGCTTTAAAAATTAACCAATTTTTTAAGTTATCCTGTTGCTTTTGTTAACTAATTGATTGGAACAGCTCTTTCAAGTTCAACGGGAAAAAATTAGTTACCAAAATTAGTTGCCAAAAAAAAGTTTAAATAATAATTGCTTGTAATTGCTTGAAAAGACTGTTTGATTCAACCGGTTTGAAGCTTACTAGGCTGCGAGAATGTGTTTATCTGAAGTTACTTGATGTAACTTCATAATACTATGTTTTTTGAAGAATTTGAATCAGTTATAGAAAACCTGTTAGTGAACTAGTTTTAGAAAGATTCATAGACAAAAGATTTCTAATTCGAAACTACAATTACATGCTGTTTAAAGAGATAGTTAAATCCCAGGTACTCGAAAACACTCACAAAACTTAAGTTTTTGAAAACCTAAATACATTTCAAAATCTAATATTTCTACGCAGAAGCGATACTTCAGACGGTAGCTTTAAAATAATATAAAATTAGAATTGCAGAAAAAAAATGTCTCTATGTTTCTGAAAAATTTTTTCTCTATGGTGGGAACAAAAACTAACACAGGCAAAGCTGCAGCTGCGCAAACACTGTCGAAAATCCCAAAATATTCGGGAGCATAAATTTTTTTTATTTACAATTAAGGTTGGAAAAAAAGCTGCATCGTTTTATCACATTACGCTCAGCTTGTATAATGAGCCTAGCCTTGTCACTTTTTTTGCGTGCGCCAAACACCTTTTTGAGGCATCGGCTCAAATGGTTCCCGGTGTCTGAGAGGTTTGGGACTTCAATTTTTCGCAGTTATACACAATTTTGAGATACCGTAATGGAGAAAAACGGAAAGAAACGTCCTAGAAAAACTTGGGGCTAGGCAAACGTCGATTCAGGGCTAGGAAAAAATCAAAAAGGTGTATTTAAGCGCTTAAAAGACAATTTTGGAAAGACCTGCTCATGCTGTTTTCGAATGTGTATCAATTGTTGAGTTAAAACAATTATTCAAAATTTTAGGGCTAATAAAATGTATTGTAATTTTAGGGCTAGGCTCAAAATTTTTTTAAGTCTGTTGCTCATCGAAAATTAATCCAATTTGAAAAAAACTCAATGGTTCTGGTGATTTCTCGAGCTAAATTAACCGACTGGACTAAAAAAAACTCCAATAAAGTGTAATTACTCTGACAACCCGCCTTTGATCAAATTGATTCAGTTTCAGAAGAGTTGACAATTAAGTTTCTATAAAAAAACCATTAGGCCCTATTTTGAACGAGAATTACAAGGGTCATGTATTTTTTATTATTTAAAATTTTTTTGAGACTTTTTTCCACAATTTTACGTTTTAGCCCTACAGATGTCAAATTTTGGCAGAGAAAATGAAACTTAGGTTTAGAATTTAGCCTAAAATTGCTTTCAACGATGACTTTTTTTATGAAAATCATACACGCTTCACGTCTATTCATTGGTAAAAGCTTTCCAACAAGCCCTTATTTGCTATAATGCGATATCTAAAACTTGAGAAAGTCAAAGTTGAGCCAAGGTGATTTTCTTGGGGCTGGGGCCATTTCGGCTCACTTTTTCTTTTCTCACATATGATATGAATTATAATAATGAAATTATGTACATTCTAACTCTTCAAAAACTCTATAGTAAAATTTAAATAAGAAAAAATTGAAAAAAAAACTTTTTGGTCATTTTACGATCTTTAATTTTATAATGAAAACTGATACAATCCAGCATGCGTTCAATGAGATGAAACTTCACTGATCCATTCAATGTGGGTCAAAACTAGTTCAACGGGTCCTCATATATGTCCACTACACTTTAGATGGGATTCAGATAAAAATTTAGCTAGAAAAGGTATTTTGCTTGCTTAAAAAGGGTGAAGTTTGAAGAAAACAAAATTGAAGTTGATTTTTGGCGGGGAATTTGCTTTTGATCAATTAAAAAGCAAAAAAACATTTCAACTATGAACGTTAATTGTGTTCCACTTTTGAACACTAAAAAGAACTTTCCAATGACCCCTTCAACATAATGCAATTTTAAAAAGTTGAGTAAAACAAAATTGAGCTGATTATTTTTGTTCGAGGTTAAGGCTTATTTTAACTCAATTTTGATTTTTTCAACGTATGTTAGGTTCATAAAGCTAAAAATGTGTAAGAGAGCTCTTCATAGAGTGTGTAAATCCACCTCAAAGAGTAAAACAATTTAGAAAATTATTTGAGTAATCTTCAATTTTGGAGTGAACACTGATACTCTCAAACATATCGTTCGTTGAGATTAAATTTCAGACGGGTTTACTGTGATCTTTAAAACTATAAAAAACAATTCCTATATAAGTCGAATGCACTTTAGAAAAGTCTCAGATAAATTTTAGCTTGAAACTATATGTGGCTAAAGCAAATATGATGACAAGTTTGAAGTGAAATTTTTCAAAAAAAAAAATCGAATTTTGGTTAAGTTATAGTCTCTGATTAGCTATCAAACTTCAAACATATATATATTTTTTCATTTTCCACGATAAACAAGATAACGAGCTTTGCAAAGATTCCTGCTGCATCGTAATGCAAATTTTAAAAAAAGAGGAAATCGAAATTGAGCTGATTTTTTTTTTCGAGCTTAGGGTTTTTTATTCAATTTTGATTTTTTCATCATCCATGGGACTTATGAAGCTCGAACTGTGTATGTGAAATCCTCATAGACTGTATAAAACAACCTCAATGAGTAAGAACTTGAAAAAAAGCTTCGAGTCGTTTCACGATCTTCAGTTTTGGAGTGAACACTGATACTCTCGAACATGTCATTCAATGAGATTAAACTTCACTGACGGATTTAATCTGATCATCAAAACTATGAAAAACGATCCCCATAGTGTCTAAATATATCCAGAAAGTAAAGTGTTCGATTAAAAAAAATTTTTGGTCTTTTTGGCAGATTCAATTTTCTAAAGAAAAATGAAAGTTTCGAATATGTCGATCAACGCGATGAAACTTCACTGACGGCATCAATTTGGATATTAAACCACTTCATCTAAGCACAATTTGATTCTGATAAAAATTGGAAAACTTTGAGACATCTTTTTAATTGGAAAACCGTTCGTGGCTCAATCAAGTGATGTGAAGTTTGAAAAAAAAACCTCAAACTTTTGAAAAATCTATTTTTTAAATTAAATTTTACGCTTCCCAAATTCAACCCCTGTTAAAAGCATTTGGTTAAACTTTCAATTCCTTTAAGTGACATTGTCTTAGGTATATCTCTAACTGTTCGTTTGAGATGCTATTGTTGATTTTGAGGTTGTTTTTGTTTTGTTGGTGTTGACAACCTGTGGAATTTTTTATTCAATTTCAGGTTTGGAGGTTCAAAAAACCTTTTTTTTTCTTTTTCACTAAAATTTTAAGTAGGTTCACCTCTTGAATGAAGTTCAAACCGTAACATTATGTTTTACTTTAGTTTCATACCGATTTTTTTTAGATGATTTTGGGCTAGGGGTCTTTTATTGGGGTTGGGCTCATTTTACTTTTATTTTTTGATTTTTAGTCAATTTGTTTGTTGGTAATGCTATAAACTCCAGTTTTTTTTTGTTTATTCAAAGCTGTAACAAACTTTTGTTGTTCTTTGATGTGTTTTGGAGTTGTCTGAAAACCCTCTGTAAGTCCAAAACACACCAAAGAACAACAAAGTTTTCAGACGAGTTTCAGCGAATTTCCGAAATGATGTTGAGAAAATTACGCGTTTTCGTACACCAAAATTTTAGGGTTTGGCGTCAAGTAGTCATTTTCTTGTTTTTCACTATAGTTTTCCGTTAATTCCCATCTTGAAAAAAGTTTGAATTGTTTTTAATTTTTCGTCAATTTCCTTGCTGTTTTTTTTTGTGATTACTCAATGAAGTAAGAACTGTTTAGTGGATCATGGGATTTTAGTTTGGGTTTTCAGACGATTTTCAGCTATTTTCCAATAGTGAACTCTTGTAACTTTTTGGTGTTAAAACCAAGTTCCAAAAAGTGACATCGACGATGTCACTTTTTGGCTACATAAAATTGACCAAAAAAGAACATTAGACCTTGTCACTTTTTGGAATCATTTTGTGGCTACAAAAATTTCCCTGCTCATGTCACTTTCTGCAGACCCCGTAGCCAAAAAGTGACCGGGCTAGGACCCTAACTGTAGTCATAATAATTAGTTGAGACTTGAATTTGAAATTTAATTTTTAAGTATCTATGTCGACAAAAAATATGTTTTTCTGACTTAGATAAGACTTGCATGTTTTCCGAGCCTAAGTAATGAATACTAAGTAATAAGTGATAGCTGCCAATTGTGAGCGAACTTTTGGTTGAGAGCAAAAATAGTTCCGCTTAGAGACTAGACGTGTTTATCCCACCAGCCCCCGGTGTGGAAAGGAACATGACCTACGCTGTTTTTTTTAAGAAAACAGAAGTACCCACCTCAAAGAACGTTCCTTGGGGTGCGAGTTTGGTATCAGAACACTTCATTTGTCAATTGGTCACTTCATTTTCATGGTTTCGACTCTCAGCCGACCCAAAAAGCTCCCCTTTTGTACTATTTTGAGATATATGTTTTCGGCTGAGTGGCCCAAAGTTTTTAAAGGCGCCTATGGAGCCAAATCATACTAACTTTCAGTGAGATTTTCGGCCTGTTTTTTTTTCAAAATATGCTTTTTCTGCAAATTTTTTTAAATATGCCTGCGGCGCAGAAAATTTGGCAAAACAGGGTTTTTCTAGTGATTTGTGAGAGCTTGGAATAGGAATTCGCTCGACCTAACATTTTTTTTAAAGGTTGAAGGAAATTACAAATTTTTTTGAAAATCCTCACCCCCTCGTGAAAACCCTGGAACCACCCTTGTAATTACTAGAATTTTTACTGGTCCAAATCGGCTGTTGTCCTGTTAAAGAGTTGCACGTTTAACGACCATTCCCATAATTTAGGGCCTTATTCTTGTACCTATGCTCAAATTCTACAAATACTATTGTTGCAAATATTGATTTCAGACGTATTACACAAAAACAAACCAATTAATTTTCATATCAATATTAATATCATTCAGCAGCGTATAATGAAGGAACAGTTCTTCTTATCTAAGGGCATTCATGAATGAGGAAGAGGTCAGTATTATTGGCGTTTGGTACAATTTATTAATTTGTACATTTCGTTTCAGTGCCACCAGAAGCAAGCATATTCCTACTCGCCCAGTTAGAGTGTTGCCAGGAGCTTCTTAGCTTCTGCGATTGACTGAAAAAAAGCAAAGACTCTCAACTTGCTTAATAATTAATCTCAAAGCAAACTAAGATCAGAAACAAAATTAAGAGAAAGATTTTACGAATAAATATTTCAGTACTTTTTTGCCATATGTGTGAACTAATACCTGATCATCCTTTTCGTTTTCACTGGGATATTCGGCTGCTTTCTGGAACCATTTCTTGGCTTCTTCTTTCTTCTTAAGCTTCAGATAAGTCTTTCCCAGACTCACATAGTTGCCAACATAGAAACCACTGTTCACTAAAAAAAAAACAATTTCAAGGTCGACAACTATTTTTTTTTGGCTATATTGAAAGACGATTGATTTATCATGATTATCATCACTTCATCGTAGCCTTAAGCCTTAAAACAGGGACGGTTTTAAAGACCACACTCTTTCATGAACTCGAAACCTTCGCTATCCAAAGTGCTTTCCAGATTGCGACTATTTAGCGTCACCCATTTTTCCGACCGACCAAAACTTTTGCTACTCGCTTAATCAGTTTAATACTTGTTTTCTCACTTAAAGGAAAAGAGCCAACCACAGGGAAAATCCCAACGAAAGGGTCCAAAACAGCATGTTTCCTACACAGAGGCATAGCTGAGCTTCGCACCACGTGCGATACAGCAAAGTTTCGACAAGAATTATTCTCGCAAGAAAACTACTCCAAAACCTGATATACGCGTAAAATAAAAGCGCATATTAGATAGGGTTTAAGGGCAAAATTAGCCTTTTCACAGTGTAAAATAAATATAAACCCGGTCCTACTCAATGCAGGAGCAACTGAGAGGTAAGGGCGATATCATCCATCCTAACGTAGCCAGTCCTCACCTTCTTCGGCCTTGAGGAAGTTCTTGAGTGCCTCTTCGAAAGAGGAGGAGGGCGGAGTGCCGAAGAACACTTTGGCCGCCTGTCTCTGAGTCCACCCCATGTCAGACACGAAGTAACTCCACTCACCTAAACGTTGTCATAATAATTAACACAGAGTTGCACTTCGCTAAAAAAAATCAAAGAGAAAGTTTACTGCCCAGTTAACGAAAGACAAGAATAAAAAAACTTTTTTTTCAGATTATTTCAAATACCCCATCAAGGGCTCAGAAAATTATAAGGTGATATGTTTAAGATCTAGTAACGCCTTAAGGAGACCAACTAGCCTCAATTTGGAATGACTCTGAGCGATAATAACTCACTACCGATGCAACACATTCATAGAACAAAGGTTGTGGAATATAGCGCGCCATGCCAAACCGCAATAACTTCACAAATAAGATTACAGGGGAAATATCTTATTCTTTCTCATATTGTTTTCAAAAGACTAAACTGCTGGCCTCAATTCAACGCTGCTTACGCGTGTTATGAACTCATTATATCGCGCATCAGTTATCCCAAATTGACCAAATTAGCCATTTTCAAACCCGATAGCTTTATGAGAAATAATCAGACAAAACATCTTTTTAAATTTGAGCTCAGGACAACATTAGCTCTCAGATGGTTTAAAAAAAACAATAAAAAATGCTTAGTCAATGCTCCTCGTACCAGGCAGAAATGGAAGCCATCCAGATGGCTTCCATTTCTGCCTGGTACGAGAAGCATTAACTAAGCATTTTTTTCTTGTAGCTTGCTTTTCTTGTAACAAATGAAATAAAATGAACTTAGAAAAAATCGTAAGTCAAACCAGGAAAAAGTAAATTAGAACTCATTTGAATTCTAGAATGATTAAAATCTACCTAATAAGAAGTAACAGAGGGCGTCATTTGGGTTCAACTCTGAAGCTTTTGTGAATTCGTCCCTGATGAGGTAGCCATTCTCTATCTTCTTCTTGATCCCCTCGTAGTCTCCCACCTCACTCAACATTATTCCCTTCCACTGCAAAAAAAACAAATCGGGTTTCAAAACCAACAACAAAAGAAAAAATTACCGCAAGTGAGTAAATAAGTCAATGCAACCTTACTTTAAAAACAATGGAAAATTTTTTATCTTTTTTCGATCCAAAGAAGCTAAATAATTATTGATCCACGAAATGACATAAAAATTAGGTGTATCTATACATGCGATTAGGACTGAAAAATTGAGCTCATGTAGAAAAATTTAGGGCATACCTTCCTGAGGAAAAAACAGTGGAAGCGGTTTATTTTTCTCGTCTGGTGAAAGAATCCCAAAAACTATCAATCCATTCAATTACATGAAAACTAGGTGTATTTATCCTTGCGATAAGGGATGCAAAATTGAGCCCAAAATTAACGCAACCTAGATTTATTATTGCAACGATGTCCCTTTTTGAAACAGGATCTCAAAGTTCTATTAGGTGCAGATTAAAATAACTGAGCAATGAATTGACTCTTCCCAGTAAACAGAAAAAAAGTACAAGTAAGACTGAAAAGTTAGAGCAACTTACTGATAAAAAACAATGAAAAAATTTATTTTTCTCGCCGATCCAAACATTCCAATTAATAATAGATTCGCTGAATTACACAAATATAAGGTGTATCTAATCGTGCGATTGACACTGCAATAAGAAGCCCAGATGGAGAACAACTTAGATTTACTATTGCAACGTTGTCCCACTTTGAAACAGATCTCAAAGTTATATTAGGTGCAGATTAAAAACACTGAGCAAAAATTGACTCTTTTTAATAAACAGAAAAACATACAGCAAGTAAGTTGGAAAATTTAAAGCGACTTATTGATTATGAATAAGGAAAAAATTTGCTTTTCTCGCTGACCCAAACAACCCAATTAGTTAAAAATTCGCCGAATTACTTGAATATAAGGTGTATCTAATCGTGCCATTACGACTGCAAATAGAAGCCCAGATGAAGCAAATTTCAGATTTACTATTGCAACGTTGTCCCACTTTGAAACAGATCTCAAAGTTCTATTAGGTGCAGATTAAAACAACAGAGCAAAAAATTGACTCTTCTCAGTTATCAAAAAAAATACAGCAAGAGGGCCATAAAAAAATAAAGCAACTTAATGATAAAAAACAATGAAAGAATTTACTTTTCTCGCCGATTCAAACAATTCAATTAAAGATCCACCGAAATACACGAATATAAGGTGTATCTAATCGTGCGATTAGGACTGGAAAAAGAAGCCCAGATGAAGCACACCTTAGATTTACTATTGCAACGTTGTCCCACTTTGAAACAGATCTCAAAGTTTCTATTAGGTGCAGAGTAAAACAACTGAGCAAAAAAATTGACTCTTTGTTAAAAAAAAGTACAGCAAGTAAGTCAGAAAAATGAAAGCAACAATGATAGTTATCAATGGAAGAATTTACTTTTCTCGCCGATTCAAACAATCCAATTATTTAAAAAGATCTACCGAATTACACGAACACAAGGTGTATCTAATTGTGCGATTAGGACTGCAAAGAGAAGCCCAGATGAAGCACAATTTAGCTTTACTATTGCAACGATGTCCGACTTTGAAATAGATCATAGTTTCTTTTAGGTGCAGATTAAAACAACCGAGCAAAAAATTACTCTTTGTTAAAAAGAAGCACAGCAAATAAGCTAGAAAAATGAAAGCAACATAATGATAATTAACAATGAAAGAATTTACTTTCCCCGCCGATTCAAACAATCCAATCATTTAAAAAGATCCAGCGAACTACACGAATATAAGGTGAATCTAATCGTGCGATTAGGACTGCAAAAAAGCCCTGATGAAGCACAACTTAGATTTATTATTGCAACGTTATCCCAATTTGAATTAGATCATAGTTTCTATTAGGTGCAGATTAAAACAACCGAGCAAAAAAATTACTCTTTGTTAAAAAGAAGCACAGCAAATAAGCTAGAAAAATGAAAGCAACATAATGATAATTAACAATGAAAGAATTTACTTTCCCCGTCGATTCAAACAATCCAATTATTTAAAAAGATCCACGGAACTACACGAACATAAGGTGTATCTAATCGTGTGATTAAGACTGCAAAAAGAAGCCCTGATGAAGCACAACTTTTTTTTGAAACGTTGTCCCAGTTTGAAACAGATCTCAAAGTTCTATTAGGTGCAGATTGTAAAACTGAGCAAAAATTGACTCTTCTCAATTAACAAAAAAATAAAGTAATCTTCTCAGTTAACAAAAAAAATAAAGTAAAAAAGCCAGAAAAATTAAAGCAACTTATTGATTATGAATGATTATGAATAAGGAAAAAAATTGCTTTTCTCGCTGATCCAAATAATCCAATTAGTTAAAGAGCCACCGAGTTACACAAATGTAAGGTGTATCTAATCGTGCAATTAGGACTGCAAAAGAAGCCCAGATGAAGCACAACTTAGATTTACTATTGCAACGTTGTCCCACTTTGAAACAGATCTCAAAGTTTCTATTAGGTGCAGAGTAAAACAACTGAGCAAAAAAATTGACTCTTTGTTAAAAAAAAGTACAGCAAGTAAGTCAGAAAAATGAAAGCAACAATGATAGTTATCAATGGAAGAATTTACTTTTCTCGCCGATTCAAACAATCCAATTATTTAAAAAGATCTACCGAATTACACGAACACAAGGTGTATCTAATTGTGCGATTAGGACTGCAAAGAGAAGCCCAGATGAAGCACAATTTAGCTTTACTATTGCAACGATGTCCGACTTTGAAATAGATCATAGTTTCTTTTAGGTGCAGATTAAAACAACCGAGCAAAAAATTACTCTTTGTTAAAAAGAAGCACAGCAAATAAGCTAGAAAAATGAAAGCAACATAATGATAATTAACAATGAAAGAATTTACTTTCCCCGCCGATTCAAACAATCCAATCATTTAAAAAGATCCAGCGAACTACACGAATATAAGGTGAATCTAATCGTGCGATTAGGACTGCAAAAAAGCCCTGATGAAGCACAACTTAGATTTATTATTGCAACGTTATCCCAATTTGAATTAGATCATAGTTTCTATTAGGTGCAGATTAAAACAACCGAGCAAAAAAATTACTCTTTGTTAAAAAGAAGCACAGCAAATAAGCTAGAAAAATGAAAGCAACATAATGATAATTAACAATGAAAGAATTTACTTTCCCCGTCGATTCAAACAATCCAATTATTTAAAAAGATCCACGGAACTACACGAACATAAGGTGTATCTAATCGTGTGATTAAGACTGCAAAAAGAAGCCCTGATGAAGCACAACTTTTTTTTGAAACGTTGTCCCAGTTTGAAACAGATCTCAAAGTTCTATTAGGTGCAGATTGTAAAACTGAGCAAAAATTGACTCTTCTCAATTAACAAAAAAATAAAGTAATCTTCTCAGTTAACAAAAAAAATAAAGTAAAAAAGCCAGAAAAATTAAAGCAACTTATTGATTATGAATGATTATGAATAAGGAAAAAAATTGCTTTTCTCGCTGATCCAAATAATCCAATTAGTTAAAGAGCCACCGAGTTACACAAATGTAAGGTGTATCTAATCGTGCAATTAGGACTGCAAAAGAAGCCCAGATGAAGCACAACTTAGATTTACTATTGCAACGTTGTCCCACTTTGAAACAGATCATAGTTTCTATTAGGTGCAGAGTAAAACAACCGAGCAAAAAAAGATAACCTTTGTTAAAAAAAAAGCACAGCAAATAAGCTAGAAAAATGAAAGCAACTTAATGATAATTAACAAAAAGAATTTACTTTTCTCGCTCATTCAAACAATTCAATCAATTAAAAATCCGCCGAACTACACGAATATAAGGTGTATCTAATCGTGCGATTAGGACTGCAAAAAGAAGCCCTGATGAAGCACAACTTTTTATTGCAACGTTGTCCCACTTTGAAACAGATCTCAAAGTTCTATTAGGTGCAGATTATAAAACTGAGCAAAAATTGACTCTTCTCAGTTAACAAAAAAATAAAGTAATCTTCTCAGTTAAAAACAAAGTAAAAAAGCCAGAGAAATTAAAGCAACTTATTGATTATAAATAAGGAAAAAATTTGCTATTCTCGCTGATCCAAACAATCCAATTAGTTGAAGAGCCACCGAGTTACACAAATATAAAGTGTATCTAATCGTGCGATTAGGACTGCAAAAGAAGCCCAGATGAAGCACAACTTAGATTTACTATTGCAACGTTGTCCCACTTTGAAAGATATCTCAAAGTTCTTTAGGTGCAGATGAAAACAAAGGAGCAAAAATTGACTATTTTTAATAAACAGAAAAACATACAGCAAGTAAGTTGGAAAATTTAAAGCGACTTATTGATTATGAATAAGGAAAAAATTTGCTTTTCTCGCTGACCCAAACAACCCAATTAGTTAAAAATTCGCCGAATTACTTGAATATAAGGTGTATCTAATCGTGCCATTACGACTGCAAATAGAAGCCCAGATGAAGCACAACTCAGATTTACTATAATAAACAAAAAGAATTTACTTTTCTCGCTCATTCAAACAATTCAATCAATTAAAAATCCGCCGAATTATATGAATATAAGGTGTATCTAATCGTGCCATTACGACTGCAAATAGAAGCCCAGATGAAGCACAACTTAGATTTACTATTGCAACGTTGTCCCACTTCGAAAGATATCTCAAAGTTCTTTAGGTGCAGATGAAAACAAAGGAGCAAAAATTGACTCTTTTTAATAAACAGAAAAACATACAGCAAGTAAGTTGGAAAATTTAAAGCAACGTTGTCCCAAAAATTGCTTTTCTCGCTGATCCAAATAATCCAATTAGTTAAAGAGCCACCGAGTTACACAAATGTAAGGTGTATCTAATCGTGCAATTAGGACTGCAAAAGAAGCCCAGATGAAGCACAACTTAGATTTACTATTGCAACGTTGTCCCACTTTGAAACAGATCATAGTTTCTATTAGGTGCAGAGTAAAACAACCGAGCAAAAAAATTAACCTTTGTTAAAAAGAAGCACAGCAAA